CTTTCCAACCCTTTTAACAATTAATAGGAGTGTTTATTTATTTAAACTCTCCTATTTTCATTTCCATTACCGATGAGGGACATTTGCCTTTTTCATTAAAACATTGAAGGACTTTTCAAATTCTCAACCTTTCAAGTTTTAAACTTTTCAAATTCCTCTCTTTCCCTTTATTTCCCATCAATTCTTGCTACATACCCAACAATATTTACTGTCACTAGTGGAAATTATTTGACATGGAAAACTATTGTGCATAAAGGAATTAAATCTCTAGAAACGTTTATCAACATTCTTAAAAAATGGTACACATTTAATGAGGACAAACAAAAGAAGTAAATACATCTTTGACTTTTTTGTGGATATAATAAAAGACCCTCTAATGAGAGAGATGAGATCATATTCTGTTAGGACTGGAACTAAGCAGGTGTAAACGCGGAAGCTAGCAAAGCAAACCTCAAAAGACCACGAGTAAGAAGACAACGAGAAATATATCAAAAGACACAAAGATTTAACATGGTTCGGTCAATCGACCTATGTCCAAAAAGCAGATGAGCAATCCACTATAAATACGAGAGTACAAAATACAGAGAGAAACAACCTCAACCAATTCACTCGGAATACATCGGAGGTTCACACAAGTGATAGCGTATAAAGCTTGTGACCCATAAATTGTCCCCCTAACCAAAACTCTCAAAGCCATTAAGACTACATTGTGAATGCTGATTAAGTTAGAAGGAATATGCCTCTATTTATAGAATCCTAAACCTTTTCCTACCAAAAAAAGGATTAGTTAATCCAAAACATTTTGCCTAAAAGGAAAACCCATTTATGGTAAAAAAATTAGGGAAAATAAAATCCAACAAGTCTCCCCCTTGACCTGAATTTCTAACAAAATAAATTTGTCCACCTTCTTCACTTAATCTTCAACAACTTGCTTCTCCTTTCCATAATCTCCTTTGCAAAATTTATGTCTCAACACAGAGAACCTCTCTGAAATAATTTCTCCAACAAAATCTTCATTACTGTCAAAAAGGTTGTTGCTAGAATTACACCGCCAAGATGAACACCTCTTTCTAACCTGGCTCAATCATCGATTATCGAACCACTGAAGCTGACTCCATCATTGAATCTGGCTCTGATGCCACTTGTTAGAGCCGAAAATAAGCAGGTGTAAATGTGAAAGCTAGGAAAGCAAACCTCAAAAGATCACGAGTAAGAAGACAAACGAGAAATATATCAAAAGACACAATTTAACGTGATTGGGTCAATCGACCTACATCCACAAAGGAGATGAGCAATCCACTATAAATGAGAGTACAAAATACAGAGAGAAACAACCTCAATTAATTCACAGCGAATACATGGGAAGTTCACACAAGTGATAACGCATCAAGCTTGTGACCCATAAATTCTCCCCCTAACCAAAACTCTCAAAGTCATTAAGACTACATTGTTAATGTTGATTAAGTAGAAGGAACATTCCTCTATTTATAGAGTCCTAAACCTTTTCCTACCAGAAAAATATTAATCAATCCAAAACATTTTCCTAAAAGGAAAACCTATTTTTGGTAAGAAATTTAGGGCAAATAAAATCCAACAAATCTCTTCCTTGGCCTGAATTATTGACAAAATAAATTTGTCCACCTTCTTCACTTAATCTTCAACAACTTGCTTCTCCTCTCCATAATCTCCTTTGCAAAATTTATGTCTCAACACAGAGAACATCTTTGAAACAATTTCTCCACCAAAGTTCTTCATCACTGTAAAAAAGGTTGCGTCTAGAACTACACCCGTCAAGATGAACACCTCCTTCTAACGTGGTTCAATAATCGATTATCAAACCACTAAACCTGAATCCATCATTGAATCTGACCACTTGTTAGGATCGGAAATAAGCAAGTGTAAACGCGAAAGCTAGCAAAACAAACCTTAAAAGACTACGAGTAAGAAGACAACAAGAAATATACCAAAAATCACAAAGTTTTAACGTGGTTCGGTCAATCGACCTACATCCACAAAGGAAATGAGCAATCCACTATAAATATGAGGATACAAAATACAGAGAGAAACAACCTTAATCAATTCACTCGGAATACATGGGAGATTCACACAAGTGATAGCGTATCAATCTTGTAACCCATAAATTCTCTCCCTAACCAAAACTCTCAAAGCCATTAAGACTACATTGTGAATGTTGATTAAGTTAGAAGGAATATGCCTCTATTTATAGAGTCAAACCTTTTTCCTACTAGAAAAAGGATTAGTCAATCCAAAATCTTTTCCTAAAAGAAAAACCTATTTATGATAAGAAATCAGGTTAAATAAAATCTAACATATCCCTCCATATTATCATGGATTAATGCTATAGAGTATAATCATAAGACATATATAAATGTATCAATGAGTATGTAACAAACTTTTAATTACATAAATGAACAGACACAAAAAAAAAGAGATGGATAGTTGTGGTAAGGTTTTCATCAATTAGACGTTTATTAACAACAAACACAAACAATTTCCTATCCATTTAGTGGAGTGGATGTGCTACAAAGAAAGGTCGACAAATTCGATGGCTGATTGTTAGCTCACAAAATCTGGGGCGGACCCAGTAAGCCAGACGCGGATGCTCGAGCACTCATTGATTTCTGAAGTTTTTATATATATATATATATGTAAAATATGATACGTATATTATTATAATTTAAATGAGCACCCATAAAACAAAAACAGTTATGGATGAGCTGGTTTAAACCTCTGCAATAAAAAACGTGCAAAACCCTTTAAATCCTGGATTAGCCATCACAAAATATTGTTAAGACACTAAATAACTTGTGGGTGTTGACTGTTGACGTTGAAATTTGATTACACGGTCACTAAACTTTAAGACATCATAGCAAATCACTTAACTTTCTTTCATAACCTTCAAATCACTCAATTGTGAATATTATACTCAGAAAGCACGTAATCAATTTAAATGGATTTTTCATTAAATTTTACTGAAATACTTTTTTTTCTTAAACTAAAGAAAATAATAAGATACTCATTTTAATTATTTTATTAAATTATGTTGAACTATTATTTTAAAAAATAAAATAAGATACTCATTTTAATTATTTTATTAACTTTTTGTTGAACTACAACTTCTGTTTTAAATTTATTTTTAAAAATTATGTTTCAAGAAAACATGAAGAAATAATGAAAGTGAACATCTTAGTATTTTTTGACAATGTTGAATAATACGTACTCACTACTCGGTAACATTAGTATAAGTAAATTGAATTTTTTAAGAAGAAAAAAAGAGGAGGTAATTTTATCGGTTTCGTTAACTCTATATATTTATTGCAAACTGAAAACGATGTTAGAACATTTTGAGGTTTACGTGAAGTTTTAGGGAGTATAGTGCCAGTTTGCGTATTTTCAATTTAAAGTTGCATTTTAACAAAATTTAAATAAAAAAATTAAAAATGAATATTTTATTATCTTTTTAAAAATTAGCCTAAAATAAATTTGTATTTCAACAAAATTAATGAAATAGTCAAAACGAGTATCTTATTATTTTCATAAAATATATTCTAGAACAAAACTTGTATTTCAATAATATAAAACAATTATATATGTATATTTCAAGATCAAAAATTGTGCTTCAACAAAATTTAACAAAATAATTAAAATGAACATTTCATTTTCTTAAAAGAAAAATCAGTTTAAAACAAAAATTGCACTCCAACAAAATTTAATTAAAAATCATTCAAGTTGGTTGAGTAACTGTTTAAGTGAAATATTTATAGTTGAATAACTTTGTAGATAAAATATTCATTGTTGTGTAACAAAATAACTAAAATGAACATTTCATTTTCTTAAAAGAAAAATCAGTGTAAAACAAAAATTGCACTCCAACAAAATTTAATTAAAAATCATTCAATTTAGTTGGGTAACTGTTTAAGTGAAATATTTATAGTTGAATAACTTTGTAGATAAAATATTCATTGTTGAGTACTTTGAAGTTATAAAAGAAAGGTAAGTGATTTTCCGTAAAAAGAATCCTTAGTTGAGTAACTTATATAAGAAAAATACTTAATTGAGTGATTTTATTGTTATAAGAAAGTGAGCAACTTTCTATTTAAAAAACTATTTACGCTTGAGAAAATATACATTCATGCTGATAATTGTTAATTAATATTTTCTCCGTTTGAAATTGTTTGTCATGTTGCGCTTATCGAAAAACTAATTTGATTAATTTTTAAATGTAAATTGGATCACATTAATTCGATATTTTAAACAAGAAAATTAGATATTCGAAAACTATATGAAAAGTACTATAAATTACAATTTTTTTGCATATTAATGTGATTAAAAAATAAATCTTAAAATGTGAATCAAAGTTTGTATAGTGTGACTTTAAAAATAGAAACTATGACAAATCGAACGAGAAAGTAATAGTTATCCCATTTTAGTTGTCACCTTAATAAATAATAAATCATTAATTAAAATTATTTGTTAAAAAAGTGTTTATATTTATTTATATAATTTTTAAAAAGTTTTTGAAGGATAAAATTATCTTCTTACTTATGATATTTTAATATGGGTTAGGAAAGGAAAGTAATCAGCTAAAATAGAATGGAGGGAATATAAATTTCATTAATTATATTTTATTTTATTTTATAAAATTTCAAATGCAAATTTCTTATTAAAGTTTGAATTTTAAAAAATGAAAAGAAATCACATAAATTATGACAACAGGAGGGAGGAGGGAGTATCTTTTAAATCAAGTACAATGAATGATGAAATAGTAGGGTGGGGTAGAAGGTGTCTATGTCATTGCTACTCTTTTAGCCGACCCAACCGACAATCCTCTACCCCTTCTTTCTTTCTCTGTTAGTTTAACCCTACTCTACGCTAAAGCTATATATAAACACAACTTCAAAGTAAAGCCAACCAACTATGAAATTAGTGCTACCCCTTTTCTTTTGATCAACTCATTTAATTAATACAACTTTTGTGATATGGAACTAGAGCTTGGCCTTGCTATTTCAAATTGTAACCATTTTCCCATCAATGCAATCACGAGTTATAGGAAGAATGGTTTTGATGATAGCTTCTCCGATATGAAGATGAAGATGAAGCAAAAGCGATGTTTTGAAGAGGCCTTTCATGAGGATGAAGGAGTAGTTGAACGTAAGACGTTGTCTTTGTTCATATGGAATGGCCAACCAAATGAAGATGATGATAACCATGGAAGAAACAAGAAACCTTTTAATGCCACTTGTCACAAGTAAGTCATAGTATAACTTTTTGTTGAAGACTGAATATATAGAACAGTTGAACAACGTGGTACAAGTAATGAGTACAAATGTTATAGAGTTATGGTCACAATAGGACGTGCATAGCGTTGACTGTACCACATTGTTCAACCTATTTCATATCTTCATCTTCAACACTTTTGATGTAACACAACATACCTTTATTAATTAATGGTTTTTTTCTGTCCATGCAATTAATATAGGGATTTTGAGGAAGAAAGTCTCAAACTTCTTGGTTGGCCACCAATTAATACATGGAGAAAAAAACAATTTCATCATCAAGGTCATGCAGGTTGGATTACAAATGATAGAAACAATAACAATAATAATAATAATAATGTTATTGTTGGAGGAAGAAACTCTATGTATGTAAAGGTGAAGATGGAAGGGGTGCCAATAGGAAGGAAGGTTGATCTAAGGCTCTATCATTCTTATCAACTTTTTACCCAAAATTTACTTCAAATGTTTGCAAGATGTAAGTTCACGCCAATAGTACTACTGTGTATATTTATTTTATTTTAGAAAGAAATTCTCAATTCATTAATTGATACTATTGTTTTCTACAGATCAAAATAGTGGAAAAAATAGTACACGCTTTACAATCTTGTACCAAGACAGAGAAGGAGACTGGATGCTTGCTGGAGATGTACCATGGAAGTAAGCACTTAATTATTACTCCCTCCACAATTTTATATGAGTTAATTTGATTTAATACAAAATTTAAAATAAAATAAGATTTTTGAAACTTGTTTTCTAAAGTTAAGTGATAGATATTTGAGTGGTAATAAATCATTTCAATAAGGATAAAATTAATATTTTAAAGTTAAATTGTTACTTTATATTCAAATATATATCATTTATTTTATGACAGATTAAAAAGAAAAGTAAGTAATATAAGAAAAACCTATACATGTAATTATTTTAACAAAAGAAAATTCAAATCAACTCAATTTATTGCTAGTATTAGTTAAGTTTTGGCTATGAATGACTTTTCGCAGAACATTCGTGGAGACTGTTCAAAGAATTGAGATACAAAAGAATGAGAAATGAGGGAATTAGATGCTCTAGAAATCATATGCTTATGGAGTAGCATGGACAAGTTATGGAGTAGCATGGACAAGTGTATCTTAGATCTAAGTTGCGGTATCTATAGTAGAAAAAATACTCTTTATTAATTAGCTTGTTATATGTCACAATTAAATTGTTATATATATATATATATGTATGCTACGTATGTCTAGTAGTTTTCCTGCAAAGAGTAATGTGTTCATCAAAGTCATGTAATATAATATATAGTTTTATATATCTTATCAATCTTACTAAAAGAAAGCTTTGTATATCGAAATTGCATTTGGTTTTCATCATGCGACGGATCAATCTTGACTAGTAAGATGTATAGAGAGACCAATGATCAGATTCAATATGTATGAAATGTTAAAACAAGATGATTGATGAAGAAAGTTGTTAATTACTTTATCTATCTGTTCACTTTTTTTTTAGGACATTTAAATATGAATGTACACAAGGGTGGATCTATTAAGGTCCGTTGGGGTGCCAAGCCACTCTCTAGCTTTGACGGAAATTCTCTCTCTCTCTCTTTATATATATATATATATATATATATATATATATATATATATATATATATATATATATAATATGTGTTAAATAATAAATGTGTTAACCACAAAACAGAAGTAATTTTTGGTATAATGATAGAGCATCTACTTAATGGGTATTAGGTGTGTGATCAATTCTAGCTAGCAGCATTTCTTTTTTAAAACCAGGCACATTTTCTTTTGTTTTTTTGATTTTTCTTACTTATTAAGTATTGATCAGTAATTTTTTTTAACTAATTTTATTTGATTCTTTGATTTTTTTTGTATGATTAAATATATAATGAAAAAGAATCTCTTTACCGTTGAAATCCTTCTTCCTTTAAATTTTTGAACAGCAAAAAATTGTCATTAATTAAAGCTTTAGTCTTTCGTTCATCATCCCATCATGCTCTCTCATTCAGGCACAAGACGAATAATTCAATCTGAATCTAAAATTGACTTAATCAATGAGTCTACTTAGCATTAGAGACGAATTTAAAATTTGAAGATTTTGATGCACTAATAGTATTTTAATTTAGGTAGTTAATGAAACTTTTACTGTAATTAACGAATAATGTAGTATTTAATTAGTAACTAATGACTCAAATATGGTTTATAAGCCAAACTTAAAATAAAAATAATGAAATAAGAAATCGTATTCTTGCGAGTGGTTCCTCTATCTTGTACAAATTAAACAAGGGCACCCCTTCGCTTCTTATGGGTGCACTGTTGATTATATCCTACTTTATGTCAGTTTTTCACGATATATATACATATATACGCGTGATTTTTTTTTGAGGTTAACAGATGCATGCATCCTTATCAAATCGTAAGGGTCCGCCTCTGGTTGGTACCATGTAGGTCCGCCTTTACTTGACACCCAGTGACTCTAAATCTTAGATTCGCCTCTGAATATACATTAATTTTTCTCTCTCTAGAAGTTCTCAGCGCATGATAAAGAAGATAGCTATGACGAGAGGAAGAGGTAGAGGACAGGGACGTGGTTGGAAAATTATATTGATGATACCAGGAAGCAGGGGCGGCTCAAACTGGTTGATGGCCTAAGACCAAAATTAAACTAGAAGCCTTGAAATAAATTTAAAAAATTTATATATATATTTATTTTAAATTTATTTTTCTGCCTTTTTGAGATGCAAAGTTGTTAATAATTTTTTATGTAGTTAATTTCTTCTAATAATCATATTCAATATCTCTGAAATGTGAAAACAAGATGATTGATGAAGAAAGTTCACAATTACTCTATCTATCTGTTCACTTTTCTTTGTAGTATATTCAAATATGAATGCACATTAATTTTTTTTCTCTCTAGAAGCTCTCTGCGCATGATAGAAGAGATAGCTATGGCGAGAGGAAGAGGTAAAGGACGGGGACGTTGTCGAAAAATTCCATTGATGATACTAGGAAGCAAGGACGGCTCAAACCTGTTGGTGGCCTAAGGCCAAAATTAAATTAGAGACCTTAAAATATATATATATATATATATATATATATATATAAAATCTATTTTTCTACCTTTTTGAGATGCAAAGTTGTTAATTATTTCTGTAGTCATCTCTTCTTATAATTCTTTTTCAATCGATAATATAGCCAAATCCCTTAATCTTTTTGACTTTCTCAGAAATCTACATCCGACTTTTTACTAATTTTCTCAACTCCTTCTTCTTTTTGGTTTATATCATTATCTAACTCAATTTCAACTATGTTTGTGACTTGTTCTTCTAAAGAGCATTTCCTTACCTTTTTTGATTTAATTTTAACATTGTTTTTCAAAAATTTATGAAGAGCACCTTTTTGATTTTATTAAGTTATCGACTTTTGTTTTTCTTTTAAGTTTTGAATGACTGAATCCATATTTTCTAGTTGACATATTAAAATCTAATAAATATTTTAAATACTATTTACAATATCAAATAAAAATATAATAAGCATAAGACACAAATCAAAAATAATATTAAAAATAGAATGATATTACCGAATTTAAGAACTATGAAGGCTTTTTCGAAAATTAATTGGGCTACTGCGACATATTTTTCTCCAAATTTAAGACATAAATTATAATATAAAAAAATAAAAACTACATATAGAACAAGTAAATTCTTAATCTTTGAATAAGAGAAATATTTAAGATTAGAAAAGAGAAAGTGAAAATAAATAGAAGAGAGGAAAAGAAAAAAATATAATATGTAAAAAATAAATTAGAAAAAGAATAAAAATACACATAACTTTCATGGAAAAGGTAAAAAGTAATAGTCATATCTATCAGTTCATTAATGACGTTTGAATTTGGAGTCTTAGTTATATTTTTTTCTAAAAACAAGTTTTATCCTACCTAATTAACAAAAAATTGAAGCCCCCTAAAATTGAGGGGCCTAAGGTCAAGGACTTTTTTTCAACTATATCCAGCCGCCTCTGCTAGGAAGCACAGTAGTAATTCTCAAGTTGAAACCCAAGACCTTTCACTACATGAGGAGGAAAACATACTAATAGGGACATCTTTGAAGGATGAAGTGGTGTGGAGGCTAAGTCTGAGTGAGACCCCACTAACTATGACAACGCTTCATGAGTACCCAAATCTAGGGCACAGTTATGCAGATAATTAAAGGAGTGGGAAGCAATGGAACATTGAAATGAATGTATCTGGAGAAGGGGATCTCAAGTAGCTGCTGCTACATGAATTGAAGAATTAGGGCAAGCTAAAGAGGATGTAAAGATCAGCGAAGAACCTGTAACAAGATGAACTTTTTATTGAAAATAAACTAGTTGTTTGTCACAAGAGGGACTTGTTCCTCTTCTTCTGGGAATAACAAGAAGCAAACCAAAAAAAAAGAAGAAGAAAATAGAGGTTCCAAATATATTCTAAGCAACTAAAAGAAAAGCAAATTCATCTCTGTCTTGTGTAGTGAGATCTACTACTACTTATACTACTCTAGCATCTATTATTCATGATCTTTTTCTATCATATTTGACAAAGCATGTTTCCTTTTTGCATCTGAGACCACGTACTGGTCCAGGTATTGTAGCACTCGTTTGTACCTTGTACTACGCCTATTGTTGTCAAACTAATCCTGTAGAGTCATTACATTGCCACCCTCATGGAGAAGAACCTTGTCCTCAAGGTTCAAGTGAGGAAACAGCTGCAAGAGGGTATATGAGTCCTCCCAAGTTGCATCTTCAATAGGAAAACCTACTCATTTGACAAGGCATTGAGGCACCATATGTGCCCCTTCAGTAACCTCTCTTTTGTTTAAAATAGCTTCAGGAGTAAGTGTGACAGAGGGAGTTTGGTCCAAGAAAATAATAGGTGTAATCTGATTAGTTGGTTTGCCGATACAGTTATGTAACATTGAAACATGGAATACATGATAAATTTGAGCAGATGGCGGCAGAGCGAGTTTATAAGCCACATCGTCAATGCATTGAATGATCTGAAAGGGCCTAAGGAAATGCCTACTCAATTTGGAATGGCCTTGCGAACGAACTGAAATATGCCTATATGGTCGAAGACGAACATACACTCAATCACTGATATCATATATCACCTCCCTACGACCTTTGTCGATGTGAAGCTTCATATCCTATCTTGAGTCTGCTGTAAATTTTACTTCAACACACCCAATATTTCATCCCGTTGCCACAAAGAACCCAAAATTATAGGATTGGATGTGTTGCGCAACACTACAGGAGAGATGGTAGGAGGAGGCCTGCCATAGACTGCCTCAAAAGGAGTCAACTTGGAGCTGTTTTAGTATTTAGTATTGTACCAAAATTCTGCCTAGAGAAGAAGAGGTATCCATGTAGAAGGAATATCTGTAGCAAAATAACGGAGATACATTTCAAGGAATTTGTTCAGTGAATCTGTTTGGCCATCCATTTTTGGATGATAAGCAGAACTTTTGGCCAAATGAGTTCCCTGGAGTTTGTTAATTTCCATTCAAAATTTAGAGTTGAAAATTGCATCGCGAATGATTTGGTAAGAAAACCATATAACCGGACAAAATCTTGGACAATGACTTCTGCTACTTTTTGTCTTGTAAAATTTCTAGATAGAGCAATAAAATGTCCAGACTTCAACAATGTATCTACAACCATCAAGATCACAGTGTGCCCCTGAGATGGTGGAAGGCTTGTAATAAAGTCCATGGAAATTTAAGCAAGAATCTCAGAAGGAATCGGCAAGGGAGACAGTAATCCGCTGGTTTCAAATGTGAATCCTTCATCTGCTGACAAATTTGACATTGAGAGACAAACTTCTTGCCATTAGATCGCATGCAAACCCAATAAAACTTTGAAGATAATATGTGAAATCTGCGAGAGAGGATTCGTATGACCTCCAATTTTGGAAGCATGAAACTCTTCCAATAGCATTAGATGCAAAGATGCATTCTTGGGAATAACCAGGCAATTCTTGAATAAGGGGAGACCTTCCTGAAA